AGATATGCCCGTTGTGTTTGTGATTCACGGGACGCAGTGATTTTTATTTTAGTTGACCGGAATGTGGGTGGGGGTGTGTTTGTTTATATGTTTACTATTGTACTATTTCACCCCAAGAGCCATACTAAGTTTCCCTTGCTACTCATGAATCTCACCTCTAAATGCCCAGAATTCAGGTTAGATGCTGATATTTATATTGACATCTAAGATCAATTTCATCTCCACGTTCACACAATGGATCGTCTTTTGAAATGTAAAGATTTTATTGGAGGGGAGCCCTGGGTCTCAATAAGCGTTCTGATGGACACAGTGGCTGTGACAATGTGCTCACACAGGGAGCCATTGTGAGGATGGCGCCAAAGGCCGCGGTGCTGTTACGTTTGTGGTTTGAGCGGCTATGAATTTGAAACAACTTGAAGGCACCTAATTTCGAACCCTTCGTGGCTCAGATGAACAACTTAATATTTAAAGCGTGTGGTGGCAGACAAGGCAATGCTACAAGGAGCACACGCTCCCCCCTGGTAAATAGCCCGTGTCTTCAATTTGATCCATTTTAGACAGGGATGAAACCCATCCAGTCTTTTCAACCTAAAAATCAAAAAAAGTCATATTTGCTAGCCTGAGAAGCAGAAGACTGTTTGTTTTGTTTGTTTGTTTGTTTGTATTTCTTGGCTTGATATTAATCATGCATTGTTTTTCCCCTAAAAAGGAATTAATTAGAAATACTGGATGGAATAAAGAGTTCAGGCGACCAGCAGCAAAATGGGAAAATACCATGTGTTAGGAGTTTTAGTGCCCTCTGAGTACAGAAATTTATTTGCGGCAAGCAGAAAATAGACAGAAAGCATAAAAATACAGCCGAGTCCCCCTAGTAAAATTATTTATCAAGCTAACAAGGGAGGGGCCCTTCTTGTAACAACAAACCAGTGTGGAGTAGACATGGCTTTATATTTTACCTTTGGGTTAGCGAACCAGTAAAAATACCAGCTGACAAGTACTTCACATAAACATTTCTTTCTAAATGAGCCTCCTTGTTAGGTGGAACAGGAGGAGAAAGAAAAAAAGAAAAAGTCTTCCCAGTGAACGAACACTATAGCTTCCAGAGAATTCTAGCATGCACACGCTGACTCATTTGTGCAGAAATAATATGATGGGGGGTAGGTTCAGGGCTAAGGGGGCGTGGGCTAAGGTCATGTGAATGCCGACTGGGAGCTGACACAGGGATGAGAGATTCATGAAAAGAAACGTGCTCACTCGATCAGGGCTCGTCATCATAGTGGGATATTTACCCCAAAATAATAATAAAAGTTACCGCTTTGCAAAAAACACAACAACACATGCCCTTTTCAAGGCAAGCGTCCCTGCATTTGGAACAAAACACCCACCTATCTCAGATGTCCCCACAGTGCCTTTGCTGCACGCACCTCCCAGCTATATTTTTTCAAATACTTAGTTTATGAGCAAAACCCCAATGTCAGGTTTTACAGTTCAGTTTAACGATCCCAAACTTTGATTATAAATTACAAGTCATTTTCTATTGTAGCTTGCCAAAAAGAAGAGCCACGATTGCCGGGGGCTTGGGGCAAGCCCCCAAATGCACAAGCCAAAAACATAAAACTAGGAGAGTGACCCCCACCCTGGCTTGATCCCAATGAAATGTGAAAGAAACAGACAAATCACTAAGACCACGGCACCCCCTGCCCACCCCCTGGGGTGACGGAGCCCCCCCCCCTGCCCCTGCAGTGCAGTAAATAACTCCTGAAGGTGGGACAGAGACTAGACACACCAGCACGTGGTCTTCCCTAATGTGTAAACCCGACCGGTGAACTGTGGCAGACACTGGAAGGTGCCTTTTTCTGTTGTTTCATTGTGGTGGAAATGACGCTGTGGGGGATGAAGGGCATCTGGGGGACCCTGTACAATGCCGTAGAGACCTTTCTTTGTAGCCGGGGCGTCCCCCCCTCCCCGACCCCCACCCAGCTCCCCACCCCCGTGCCAATGCCTTAGAGAGGTTTCTCACCAACAGCGAGGAGGTGGCTTCTCATGACCGGCTTTGGCCAGCTCCACTGAAATGCCCGAAACAAAGAAAAATAGACACTTCCTTATTATTATTTTCTTCGGCCTGGAACAGGATGGCATTTCACCACGCCTCTATAAAGGCTCTGACCTCAGGCGAAACAAGTGAATTCCCTCCTCTCCTGAACTTGCCTTCCCCAGTCGGGCCCAAAGGCTCCAACACAACTCCTACCCGCGGGCTCTGCCGGGGAGCTGGGCGTGAATCGCACCATTCTTCTCCTGGAAATCTGCAAGGCCGGCGTATCTCACGGCCGTGGGCTATTCATGCCCACTGCCAACTGCCCCGCCCCTCCCCCCTTCTGCTTGGTCTGGGGTCTTCTCTGAGACCCTGGGTGTTGTCTGACTCCTAGCTGATATGTTGGCCTTGTGACCCTCACCCAGAAGGCAGCGCAGAAGAGAATCCTGGCTCTGAGGTCTAAAGAGACTCAGCTGGAACGTTCTCCTGTGCACACATGGGCCACTGTGAGGGAGGCAGAATCGCCCCGACAGCATCTACCAACAGCAGGGCCGGGCACTTCCAAGGGAACAAACACATCTGCCTTGGCAGAGGGCAGCCAGATGCTCTTGAGAAGCGGGGTGGCCTGACTTCGCCTTACGTACTTGGGACAGGCTGTCAGGAGAGACCAGCCCCAGGAGAAGGACATCATGCTTTGTCAAGTAGAGGGCCAGAGAAACGGACGAAGGCCCTCCATGAGATGGTGGACACCGTGGCTGCAACTGTGGACTCCAACATCAGAGCAGCTGGGAGGAGGACGCTGCACTGGACAGTGGTTCAGTGTGCTGTGCGTGGCACTGCTGCGGGTATGAAACAATGCGAGCCCACGGAACAACCGCAGCAAAGAGGGACTTGTTAGGATGCCACTAAGCAAAGATCAGAAGGTGCATAGATCAGAAGGTGCATAGATCATGACTACATCACCTGGACCAAGCCCCCTCTCCCTCTCCCTGCCAATCCCCAGCCCCACTGCCTCAATCGGTCATTTAGGTCTCTGGGCCTGGAGCAGGTAGAAGGCATCCAATTTCTGCCAGCACCATTATCACTGAGAGCAAAGCGGGGGCCCAGATGTTGTTAGCAGTGATTCTAAAGATGCTGGTGTTTTGTGTCCCTGGATCCGGGGGTGGTAGTAGTGGGAGGGGGTGGTGGCGGGGGTGCACTCAGCAGGTGGGAGAAGAACAAGATGTCAAAGGGCTTCTCTACCTGGTGGACCTGCAGCTGGCTGCTAGTCAGAAGAACTGAGAGCCCTGATCGCCTCTCCCTCCTTCCCTGTGTCAGCGAAGCCAGGCTGAGCGGCTAGCCGCGCCCGCCTTTGCTGTGCTCACTTGTGCAGCCTGCATTTTCATCCTTTTTGGCAATGGGGAGACCTTGCTTCTGGCTCTAAAAGGAGCGGGGGAAGGGAGGCACGGGGGAAAGAAGAAGAAGAAATCTGGGGACACCCAACCATGAATCAATCAAATCGCCTTTGAGACAGGGCCAGACCCTCAAGTTGGTGCCGCCCACTGGAGCGGAGAATGGGAACGTGATTCTAAGCTTGGGCCAAGCAGGTCAACATGGGTAAAGGGCTGCCTGCTGGCTCAGGACTGCCCTCGCTGCTTTTCAGCCTCTGCCTCTGCTTTTCAGCCTCTTTCTCGAATGCGCCGCCAGACCCCAGATGCTGCTAAACAAATCAAATGCTCCTTGGCATTTAACAAGAAAACGATTCTAATCGCACCACTACAAAGTTTAAGGGGGTGGGGGGGCAGGGGGATCGAAGTAAAGAAAGTAAACAGAAAACGTCATCTTCTTGCCCCAAATGTTCGGCCCACTCAGAGCCCCTCCTAGGGGTTTGTTCTCCTTTCTGGCCCATCAGAAATGAACCTCCTTTTAGCATAGGAAGGGAGAAGGAAGAGGCATTGGAGACGCCAGGAGGAAGAGGGGTACGTGATGCTACTTTGCAGGGATTACAATCAATGAGATGCGACAAAATGTGTATGACTGGTTGAGTGGAAAACTGACCTGCACTATAAACTGTCACCTGGTTCTCTTTCCCTCTCTTACACACACACACACACACACACACATACACCGTTAAAAAATATATAAAACAAAACAGACACCACTCAGGATATAGACTGAAGCCCTTTAACGGAGGACCCTGAATAGATAACAAAGCCTCTATTTTGCTTAACTCTGGGGAGAGGGGTGATGCCTGGTGTTAAAAATCCCTTTCAATAATTACAGATCCCCCGACTCAACTCCCCCACCAGCTGCAGGTAGGAGGCAGAGAAGAAGAAAAAGAAGCTTGGGTCTGTGGGGGGAACCCAATTTAAAGGTGGGGCGACCCCAGGGTCAGTTTCTCTGAGCATCCCAGATCAATTCAATTCCATCGTCAACTCCACTGCCTACCTGGGAGCAAATGAACTTATACTGTGCTTTTCAAGGGACTGAAATGGCTTTTTAAAAAAAAAGGTCCTGGGCTCTAAGTGAATCACCGCATTCCTCCAGGAGGCTGGCTGGGAAAACAGGGAAATCAAAACTCCGCCTGTCTCCTTGGCCTCTCATTCTATCCTCATCTAGCCAGGTGATTAAATGGTAGGATGCGTCCCGAGGTGACTGGATTGTTAATTAGCTGTGAGTGTCCTCCAGGAACTTTCCCTCGAGGTCACTGCTGGGTGGCCACTTTGCCTCTGGTGACAGTACCCTCAGGTCCCACAGCTGTTTCACTTTCCCCACTCAGCACCGGGACTGTCTCCCCAGCCCCCCTGGTTGGGGCTTGCTTCCATCCACGAAGGACTTTCTTCTGCTTCCTTGAAGAGGCTGGGAGAGAGATGAACACCGGCTTGTCCCACTTGGTCCCAGGTTGTCTAAATAACGGACGGAAAAAATAAAGGAGACCAAACCGAAGGGAAAAAAAATGAAGTGGAAGAAAAGAACAACAAAAGAGGAATGAGGCTGCTTAGCTCATTTATTGCTGATCAGTGCATTAGGTGGCAAGGGACACAGAGAGATGCGAACGCCAAACAGCAGCGGTGCAGTCATTCCGGGATGGAGGAAAAGGTAGACTCGGCACACGGCAGGTGAATCAAGAAAGTTTCAGCATCTGTGAAGGGCCGCGCGAACGCTGTCTTTTCATGAGCACTCTTTACTGAAGTATCATGTTAAGCACTGAGGGACGCACATTTGCAAAAATTCCCGCTTCTGTGTTTGCTGCATGCACAAGGCTTCTTTCTTTCCACCAGTCGCCCTTCGATAACATCCCAGACAAATGCACACGGATGATCCTAAGAGTCCCTTGGCGTCCTTAGGCTAGCTCTCCCTAAAAGAGTTTGCTATGAGGTTTGATTACATCAGCTCAGGGCTGGGACAGAGATCGCTCTCAGGAAGAACAGTAGCCAGCTATGTTGGGAGGGGTGGGTGATGATAGTTAGGCAGGGGGCTAGGATCAGAAACAATAAAACAATGAGGTAGAGGTGGGTCCAGATAACCAAACACCTTAAACTGGACCCCACCCCCCTCCCATTTCTTAGCGCCAATGGAGGCGTGGCTCTCACGGGCTTGACAGGTGCTTATGGCTCGTGATGGATTGGTCCGGGGCTGAATCTGCAGGCAGCGCTGCATGGTGTTCCTCCTGCACGGATGCTGCTCCGGAGGATGGCTGCCAACGTCTGAGCAGTCCAAAGCCCCAAGGAATCTGTGGTGAAACCGGCATCAAGACCATGTGGGGGGTGCTTTCCAGACAGGCAGACAGACAGATGCACGGAGAGAGCCACAGTCTGCAGCCTGTGTTTTCGTGTGTCTGTTGCCTGGGGGACACGCGGTAGTCACCATGTGGCTTAAAGTTGTATGATGGGCTCCATGAGGCCACCTGGGCCGTGGCAGCTCCGAGCCTCCAGAGGCACTGAACAGCCAGCATGCTCTGTGCTAAGGTACCCACTGGGCTCAGGGTATTGGGGAGCCCTGTTGGCATTCGAGCTCCGGGCAATGCAGAAGGAGAAGAGCCATGCACAACTGAGGCAGACCTCAGAGCGTCTCCGTGGGGCGCTCCTCTGCTCTGCTCCTGTGGGTAGTTTGCTTCTGTTTGTAAGAGAATAAAGCTTCCCTTCTATTTAACATCGTTTTGAATGTTCACCATCAGTTTAAGTACAGTTAGGGGAAAAATATGTCCACTAGGCTAGTTCTAAGACTAGGGAAAAAGGGGAGGGGAGCACTTAGATTCCAAAAAGTGTGGTATATACAAGTCCATCAGCTTCTCCCATGGATGCCAGCAAAGGTAGCAAGGGGGCCCTCCCCACTCTGTCTGTATCCCACCTGCCCTGCCCGCGGCAGCTCTGCAAGGCTTGGTTGCATCCGGAGGAGTCTGAGCCAGGGCCAGGATCATCTGAAATGGGCAGAGCACAGGTGTGAGCAGGCTACGGTCCCCCAAGACATGTCGGATCCATCTTTCAGCGCACAAGGTGCAAAGACTGCGCTTGGAAGGCCTTTTTCCTTGACTGGTGCAAACTGTGCATAATTGTGTTACCTCCTTTCTGGGAGCTCAGGCTTAGAGCCGGCATCCAGGGGGAATTCCACAGCCGTCCTTCACGTTAGGGCCAAGGGATAGCATCCAGCCTTCCCATGGGAACTAGGCTACCGCCATGCCATCCCCCTGTCACCCAGTGGTGACCTTACCACGGAAAGGTCCGTATCCTAGAGCCAGACTGGGTAAAGGGCGCAGTGCTTAGACAAGCACGTGTGGTGGTTTAGAGTGTTAACCAGCATGTTAGAAGACTTTGCCTGAGAATGTACAACTGCGACAAACCGTGCTTTCTGGTTGATCTGGGTGTTAGCCTGTGAGACTGCGGATAGGAACTGTTAGGCAGGGACAAGGGACATGGTAGAAAAGATGAGCTTCAGCTTTCTTGAGACACCACCAGGGATGAGTATTTGGTAGCATGCCCTTGGACCAATATAAGCTTGCCTGTGTTTTTGTATTAAAGGCTTCCCCAAATCGCTGATGATTTCATTCTTCCACTGTTGGCCTACAAAATTGCCCATAACGAGTGAGAGTCGCAAAGCACCCTTGGTTGGCTTCCCAGACTGAACTCCCTAATCAAAGCAACTCTCTGAAAACAAACTAAGGAACTCCCCCAAGAGCACTCAGGAGTGGACTTTTCATATATCAGCTTATAATATTTAATATCACAGAGGAATTTCCAGGAATTGCCCTCTCTTACCCCAAATCCCCCCACCTGACCACAGGCCTGTCTCGGCTCTGCTCTCGGCTGTCAATCATGCTCACAGCTGAAATTTGATTTCTCTCCCACCCGTAACCTTTCAAGAAATATTACCAGGGGAGGTCAGGACTGGGGTGAACCCTGCCTTTACAAGTTCATTAGCTCTTTGCTCAACACGGATGGGTTTCAAATTTAACAAAGCCTTCCCCAAGGCCTCAGATCATCATCTTTGATGGGTGGTCTTCACGTTGCAGCTATCAAGACAGGGGAAGGAAAGAAGGCCGGCTCCGAGGTTGCCTGCAGGTCAAGATACACAGACAAACCTCGAAGGTAGGCGCCTAGTTACCAAGTCGCGGCCCACGGCCCCTGAAAGGAAATGTTTGACCTGGGCGATGGCTAGGGAAGAAGTCTTGCTGAATATTCACAGCTGGGCATTCAGAGCAAGACCTTCACCTTCCGGCATGCAGAAATCCACCATCGGACGATGGCTTTGACTAACGCGGGAAAGCGAGGCCGTGCTTTCCAGGGTGTTCAGTGCATGGACCTTGCAAAGCTCTTTCTCTGCAAGGGGTTGTGGATTTGCACCCCGCTCCGTTTCTCCAGAAACCAGAACATAATATAGATAGATAGATGGACAGAGGGCATGCAAATTCGTCAGCAAGCAAAACATTAGTAATAAAATAACCCATGCTGTTCCATTCACCACAAAAGGTCACCAGGCTACAAGCGCAGACTATGATGACACAGAAGGTTGTTTGGAGTAAGAGCTGTGGGCTAGCTCTCCACCCGGAACAGATTTGTCACGGGGTTCACCCTGGGGTGCCTGACATTGAAAACTCCTGCACATGTCTTGATTTCACTTCTTTCTTCTGCTTCATTTCTTTTTTGTAGATGGAACAGATTCCTGTTCTCCTCCCTCCATCTCCTGCCCAACCCTCTGCCCAGTCACCTCTGGGAGCAGAAAGGGGCATGCTCTGAGCCCAAAGTCTCCTACATTCTCCACCCAGGAATACGGAGTGATTTGGAAGAGCAGGTGAATTTGGAAGGTTTGGGAGGCCCAGGGACCGCTGGCCGAGGGCTTAGGGTTGGCTCCCAAGATTCACCCACATTGTTGGCCGTCAGCGAGAAGACCAGAGCTCTCTTTCTACGAATGCCGGTGGACTAGTGTCAGTTCAGGCTGAATATCGGATCTACCCAAACTCAGCACGCTGGCTCTTCTGCACCCCACACCTATGCTGGGAAGTGCAGGAAATACATGCACGCTGGTTCTCACTGTGCATGCGTCCCTCCTGGCCAGGTTACCTGGGTGGGGAAACCCACATCTGAAAGCCCCCAAAACCAGGCCTATTGAATCCTCTATGGCGTGCTTGACCTTCTTGCTTGTTTCTTCCCCTTCTGGAAAAGTCACTCGAACAAGCACATGCAAATGAGAAATCAAGCTGTACCTCTTTGACTTCAGACCAACGGGAGTTTTCACATCACTGAGGCAGAGGATTCCCTTGGGTACCTGATTTTGTAAATATATTAAAATAAACAAAGGGTCATTAATAACCATGCAGGGGGTTTCAAGGGTAGTACACTAAATGTCTTATGCGTAAGGCAGCATTAGGCTGGACGAAGAATTGCTGTCTACCAACAGCTTGTGCTCTTGGGCACCCCGGCCTCAGCCGTGCCAGGGGAGGAAGGAATGGTGCGGAAGGCCGGGCTGCACCTTCCCATCCCTTGATCCTCCACTCAGAGCAGGGACGATGCGATGGGATCAATCCCGCGGTCTAGCAGCCTGGATCCTCTAGGAAGCCGAGCTCACTTTAAAATGAACCAGGTGACTCTGGATTCCAATTGGGGGAGAAATTCGAATCCTCTCTGACTGGCATCCTGCAAAACTTGTCAGACTCCCCCATCCCTCCGAGATCAAAGCAGACCCAGCCTTCCTGGGCCATTTACTAAGAAACAGTCTTCCGTCTCCCCCTTGCTGAGTTGGCTAAGAGGTATTCTGTGGGCACTGCTGACCTTAATTGCAATTGTTCTCTTAACAAATAGAACCATTTAGATACCACCCCTGTATTTATGAACTTCCTTTCCCTTTACATTAGTAGCAGGCAGTGCTTAGGAGAGATCTAGAAAAACCAGGTTGCTCGGGTGAAAAAAAGAGAAAGAAAATGAAAAAAAAGTTTTGTTTTGTTTTTTTGCTTCGCAGTGAATCACAAAGCCTAGTAATTCAAAGTAGTTAGCTTTCTGTGGTTCAAAAAACTCTTATTGCGATTAGTCGTTCTAATATAAGTGGCAAAATAATTATCATTTGTGGCACAGACTCTAATATTTCCCAGACAGCACGTTAATAACAAAGCAGACCTGTCATTTCTCCCTATGGTTAGCCACACTCTACAAATTCCGACTGTCAAAATATATTTAAAATCTAATTCAAGCAATTTAACGTGGCTGCAGTAACTCTGGGTATGGGAACTGCGATCAACCAGTAAGTCAATCTCAATGTGTTTTGTTTGTTTGCTTGTTTGTTTCCCCCCAAGATGGAGATTCCGTTATTTTTCCTCTAGTATCCCTCTACTCACCCCCTGCCCCCCACACACTGGGGCATTTTCTTTTCATTGGGCGTAAACACGTTCACTGACCCCACGTGCCTGCTGAAACCTGGAGTCTGTTGGCTGCGCACACAGCCTCCTCTCTGTACTTAAATTTCCATTCGCTATCACTCGTCTTTACAAATGCCCATATTCTAAACGCTGGCACGGTACCCTGGACACTGACAGGAACACGTACCCTCTGCAGCTGGCTCGGTGGCACGGGCGTGTCTTCGTGCCTGTGCCACATTAGAAATACCTTTGAAAATCTTATGGGACGGCGAGCTACTCTTCTTAGTGTATTCCAACCCCACACAAGCCCATTGCTGTGGCGTCCGATGCAACTCACAGCGAGCCTCCGGCCCTGCGCAGCACCGCCCGCCCCTTAAATCTTCCAAAGCTGAGCACCTGCCCCGAAGCACACAGCCTCATCTTTCTTCCACAGAGCCTCGGATGGGTTTGAGCGGCCAGCCTTTGGGGTAAGCAACAGAGCACCTAATCTCAGCACCAAAAAGGTATACCAGGGGGCTTCTGACAGTTCCTGAGAAATAAGGCATGGAAGAGTTCATGGGATATTTTCGTTTGTTTTTCCCTTGACCGCTTTGAAGGGCCCTCGTATAAGGACTCATCTACATACAGTCACCTCTTGTCAAATGCACCGTTTCTATGCCTCTCCCACCCCATACACAAAGAAGCTAAAACCTGGAAGGGTCTTTGTAACACCCATGGTTGCAGATTAAAGGGGAAGGGGAAACGAACAACAAAAAAGATTTCCCAATAAAGTTACTTAAAACAAAACCGTTAGAAACGACAGAGGCCCTTAGAAATGTCTGGTCGTGTTTCAAAGCTTTCCAGATTGGGAGATGGGTGGGGGTGGGGGTGGGGGGAGGGCAGGTGTTGGTGGAATCGCTCAGGCGAGATTGGGAGCTTCCGCGGAGCCTCCGCAAGGATCCTTGACGCGGTGCGTGCCACGCTGGCGCGAGGCCGTCCGTTTCCATGCTGGAGAAGTCGTACGCGGGCCATCTTTGGACACCGGCTTTGGAAAATGCAGCCTCTCCCCCCTCGCCCTGCGCCTTCCTGGGCGCATTGGCAATCATCCGTGATTTTGGGAGGAAAAGCACCGGGCCTCATTAAATGAGACATTTGGCACCTGGCCTGAAATCTCACGCAAGTCGCTGTCCTTGTAGGATCATCAGTGTCATTTTCCTCAAGATGCCCTCTCCTCTCCAGCCACCTGGAAACCCATCCTGCGCACAAGGCGTTTACTCTCTAAAGGGGGCGCGGGGAGGGGAGAGAGCTATTGTGTTTGCACACCTGAGTGAAGGCCAAATGCCCCTGGGGGTTCTGTTGGCCTCCCCTTCTGCCTGGCAGCTTACTAGGAGAGGCTGGCCTGGGTAGGGTGGTCGCAGGGGACCCCCTTGGTGGGGGAAGGAGAAGGATGTGGTCCAAGCCAGACATCGGACAGCACGGAGCTTCTGCTCCTTGGATCTGTTTACTTAAGCGGTTCAACAATATTGATTATATCTCAGAGGACGATGCACTGATATTCCAAGGGAGATGGCGGGAGAACCCAGTACGCAGCAGCGAATTCATACGGGCAGTGCCCGGGTAAAAACACAACCAGCATTGGTCCGTGTGCTCTTCCGGGCTACCCTGTGGGGCTTGGTGAAGGGAGCTGATGCGCCTTCGAGAGGTGAAGATTCTTCTCTGACAGAAGTTTCTGGAAGATTCTTCTCCCGTCTACCTAAACACTGAGCAGAAGGATGAACGCTGCACCGGGATCCTTTTTAATTCCATAAAGTAGAAACCGCGGGTTTATCTTTTAATAGCTTTCTCCCTCTGCAAAGTGTTACATTAAAAGAGGTTCCGCAAAAAAAAAAAAAAGGAAAGGAAAAAAAAACGTGGTGGGGGGTTGGGGGTGGGGGAGCAGATGAAATGGAAATATCTGAAAATGGAAAGACACAAATATCATCTCCTCGCAGATTTAATCTTAGAATGAGATTTTCCTTTTCAATCTGACAGTGTAAAAGTGTTTCAGATGCTAAGATCATTGTTTCAGTCTGAACACATTTATCTCCGCATTCATAAATCTTCTGGAGGAGGGGGGGAGTGTCGGGAGATTTTTCTAAGATGGTACAAAGATAGGGGCTTAACCACTCTAGCCTGGGGCATCGCAAAAATCTAGCACCCAGAAGGCCAAAGGGCTTCAGCGTGTTGCCTTGGCTCCTGAAATCAGTCCTTGGGCGAGGGGCCCAATTAGGACCCTCTCCCAGCGTCTGAGAGTTGATGGGCCCCTGGATAAATTTTGGAAGTGGGCTCAAGACCTGATGCTCCAGGGTGATCCCAGTAAAATTTGCTTTAATGACTGTGGTTTTACAGTGAGTGTCAAGCTATAGTGCTCAGCCAGCCAACACCACCCCACGATTCCTGAAACATTGAAAGGAGCTTTTGTCGCCTGCCATTCTCTTTCCCCTCCTCATCCTTCCTCCCACGGACGCAGAGGAAGATGGAGCTGGGGAATTCGTACAGCACAAGGCCAGTGGGCAGCAGCTGGCCGCCTTTTCCTCTTCAGTGCTTCTTTTAACAGAAACCTCCCAGAGCCCTGTGGGGTGGGTGCCCGGGTGAGGGGTGGAGACTTTGGGGTCCAAATCTGGTGGCTAGCATATCATCCTCCCTCTAGTGCTCCTCCTGGAAAATTTCAGCCAAATCCCAATGCAGAATGGAGTCCCCCCAGCCTGTCCCCCCCACCTAAGAAGGCAGGAGCTCTGGATGGGCCTGGGGTGCATTGGGCGTGGTTGCCCTGAGCGCCCCCCTCATGCACCCTATAGCATCTTGGGTCTTGGGTAAGCTCCATGCTCATACTGGCTTCCCAGGGCTGAGCATACAAGGTGTCCCCCTAGGTCCCCTGACTATCACGCCTCCACCTCAGTAGGTCTGCACCTGCTGTGTGCTGGACTTGGAGATCCCAGGGACACAAGAGACTGGCAGGTGCACCTGGGGCAATCAGCGATGAGATGCTCAGAGCCTACCCAGCAGGCTCCACAGCACAGGGTGAAACAGGGGGCCGGGCAGAGGAGGGTAGGGTGTCTGTCCTTTGCTGCGAAATTGGGGGAGGAGATGACCTCAGCACTCTCTGCCTTCATCTCTTTCATCCCAGGCCCCCAGCCTGCTGCCAGCCACCTCACTGAACCACCGCCCAGCTCTTTTGGGGGATCCCCAGACCTGCCCCTGGCCCACCCCCTGCCCCCTGCCCTGCCAGGTCTGCTGAGGGGAGGCACAAAGCTATAAAGGTTCACCTTCCATCGGTGCCCTCTGCCCTCAGGGCCAAGTCTGCCTCCTCTGATGGCCCTGGTAGACCGGGCGTGGGGTGGAAAATTCTGGGGCTGAGGCATCAACGGAACAGAGTCAGATGGTAAGGGGCTGAGGTCCTCAACTTAGGGACAGCACTTTTGGGAAGCTCAGGGTCTGTAGGTGGCTCATCAGTTGCCCTGGTGGGAAATGGGGGTCCTAGGAACGATCTGGAGGGAAGCCCCTGGATTTGGGGAGGATCCTAAGTTTGACCTCTGCTAATGATACTTCCCCTAGTCTGCATACCCAGCCCTTCTCTACCAAGCTGGGGATATCACCCCCACCCCCACAATTTGTTTCTGGCAAGCCTGCATAGGCCTCCAGATATTGATGAGGTTACTGAGAACAAGGTCAACTATGATGGTAAGCAAGGTACCAGAATACCTACACCCAGACCCTGATTTCCCAGAACAGGGTTCCCTTCCCAACCTTCCCAGCTTCCTGGCTACAAACCCTCATAATGGGGGTTCCCACCCCTCTAGGCCTAGATCTGGAAGGTCCTGACTTCCCGTGGTTCCTATTTGGATGGAACTTGTTACCAAGAAAACCCGTTCTCTGGAATCTAAGCTAGGGAAGAGGC